CAATCAGCTCGAGAAACTAAGCCACGACCTCAACTTCTCAGACTCCGGCGACAAGGACTCGGCTGAGCTGTCGCAACTTGCCCAGACGGTCAGAGATCTGTCACAATCATGCAAGTTGGATTGCGACAGTCTTCTCAAAGCTGTCCAGCGACTTCAGACGAGAAACCGAGGCAAGTGGAAGAGTTTTAAGATCGCCCTGAGGACTGTCTGGAAGGCCAACGACATCGCAGCGTTGGAAAAGAGATTGGATGGAAGAAGAGATACACTCAATCTCGCAATATCGACACTCTTGAGGTAGGGGACTTGTTTCTTTGGCTTGGCTCTTCAGTAATTGTTAACGATGATAGTAAATGCCACGAAATCCACAAACGAGACCTGGAAAATCTTCAGAAGGAAAGCAAGGCCCTTGGGGCGTCCCATTCCCAGAAGCTTGGCGAGATCGCTGCCATCATCCAACAGATCCATGTTCGCATCATGACTATGGAGTCTCGCCCTCGGCTCACACTCCCAGCTGTGGACCAAATAGTGGGCCTGGAGAATAAAATGTCGCAACTAGATTTATCCAAAAAGGATCTAATCACTCAGCAAGCCATTCTCAGAAGTTTGAGCTTCGAGAATCGACCCGCCAGGCACAGCTCCATACCACAAGCCCACAAGGAAACGTTCAAATGGATCTTTAAGAACCCATACACCACGAACGAGTCGACAAAGTTTCGGACGTGGCTCAGAGAAGGGGAGGGCTTTTTCTGGATTTCTGGGAAGCCAGGATCTGGAAAATCGACGTTGATGAAGTATATCGCTGAGTCAGATACGACCAGAGGAGAATTATTGAAGTGGTCATATCCGAAACGGACTGTTGTTGGCTGTCATTACTTCTGGAGCCCTGGAACACCAATACAGAAATCTCAAGAGGGCCTCCTCCGGACCTTGCTATACGACATCTTCCGGCAATGCCCCGAACAGATTGAACCGTCATGTGATTCACGGTGGTCTGGAAATCGTGATGATGAATGGACCGTCTCGGAACTTCACCAAGTCCTTGGAAGAGTATCTAGAGGCCAGGATCTCCCCTTCAACTTCTGTTTCTTTATCGATGGCATGGATGAATATGAAGGGGATCATATAGACTTCTGCTCTACCCTCAAGGATCTTGCGAGATCTAGACAGGTGAAACTTTGCGTCTCGAGCCGACCCTGGAACGCGTTCGAAGACACATTCGGGCGGGATCTAATATCAAAGCTGTACGTCCACGAATTGACCCAGAACGACATTACGATCTATGTCAGCGACCGCCTTCAAACACACCCCAGATGGAATGATCTTTGTATCAAGGCACCGGAAACTGGTCGATTGGTTGAAAACGTCACGGCTAGGGCAAGGGGTGTTTTTCTTTGGGTCTTTCTTGTCACAGAACTACTGCGCAAGGGTCTGACCGAGTACGACACCTTGTCCGATCTCAAACAGCGACTTGACACTTTTCCAACGGATTTGGAGGTCTTTTTCAAACATATCCTGGAGACTGTCGAACCCTTCCATCATAACAAGATGGCCGCAACGCTAAGAGTTGCGTTGACCGCAAATGGCCCTTTAAACGTTCTGCTTTACAGCTTCTTGGAGCAGGAGTTTGAGGACATGGACTACGCATTGCACCTCCCACTGAAACGGCCCCCTGAAGAGCACCTTGTGACGATGTGCAAAGGCACCGCTCGGCGAATCAATGGCAGGTGTCGAGGCCTTCTTGAGGTCAACGAACTATGGGAGGTGAACTTTCTCCACCGAAAAGTCAGGGACTTTCTGCGCCTCAGGAGTATGTCCTGTTTCTTAGCAGCTAAGTCGCCGCCTAGGTTTAGCCCAAATCTTTCCATCCTCAGAGCGTGCACGGCGGGGATCAAAGTCAGCTATGCAGGAGGGAGAGTTATGCAAGCTACATTGCAAGATGCAGTATCGTATGCGTCGTCGGCTACGAAGGAGATCGACTCCGATGACGCGGGAATTTACAGTCATCTCGATGAGCTTGACCGCTGTGCACCACACTTGGCGCCAGTAGATGCCGAGGGCCACTCCTCTGACGCTTGTGGCCGTTCGAAGTTTCGTGAATTGACAGTCGAGCACGGGTTAGTGGACTATCTGAAAATGAAACTCCCTAGATCAACGGATTACTTGACGTGGGTTTCGACAACTTCCGTGCTGCGGACCATTTTCCCGAAGTTCCCAGGTCTCGAACTAACGTCAGAATCCAGCAATCACAGGGAGCAAGAGTGGCCCAGCAAGACAACGGACTTGCTCCGTTGTCTCATAACGCATGGTCTTGACGTCAATGAGGAGTACTATCACCCTAGAGCCGATGATGCTACAACGACTTTGTGGACGACGATCTTCTCGAAGATCATCCCTTACGACCCTGCCCGGTTCCTGGAACTAGGAGACACCTTCATGTCATTCTTGGAGGCAGGACTGTTCCCACTGTTCCTAAGGCACGGAGCGGATCGGAATGCCAAGGTGTATCGCGATGTCTCTTCTAGGGGTCGGGTCTATTCAATCGCCTGGATCGACTATCTCCTTATTGCATCCCAGATACCCCCTGGACTGGTATGCGAAGCGAGGTATCTAGAAGGCCTCGATGACTTTATCTCGGGCGTGGACCTGAACGAAAAGATCTCGAACCTGTTTTATTCGCAGGATGCGAAAGACCCTGGCTGCCAGCCATCAGCGCTCGAATTATTCCTTGGTCAGCTTGATAGAAGTTCTAGAGGGAAGCGGCTACCATTCCGCTCAAATCTGTTGGCCGATGTCATGGAAAAGCTTCTAACAAATGCCTGCAGTCAAACGCAGCAGGCGGAAATTCCTTGGCCGACCATCGAGAGAGTGTTGCCACCAGAAACAATAAAGCGGCTGAAGGTTACCCACAACGCCCCAAGCTCCAACAAGGCAGGACCTGGTAACAAGAGAAAGCGGCAACCTGTGGAAGGTCTGAGCGGGAAGAAGGTGAAGAAGCGTGATAGTAGCAAACGAAAGAAAGGGTGTCAAGGAGAAAGCGAATACGATGCGGATACTGATTAATAATATATTTAGGCTTAAGCTAGATTATAATTTAGCAATAGATGCCTATAGTATTATTAAAGTAAAGGATTTATTACACCTTAATACTTTTAAATAGTAATCTTATTCAATGAAATTATAATACACTACTCCTTTTTACTATAGCTAATATAAGGGCCTGCTAGTAAAGATTAAAACAAAGCCATTCCCCACATTCCAGTCGTATACTTGTATTTATGCGTCCGAATCTTGCGTCTCCCATCAGGCAACACTTCAACATACTCATTCAGTCCAGGCCTATATCCAAGCTCTTTTTGCTTCTGTTTGGCAATCTTATCAGCCTCCTTCTCTGCAGCAGTTGGTGGTCGAGTTGGCAATGGCAGCCCAGATCGACGAGCGTCCTCAACTGCAAGACAGAAGCCAAGGTCGTCCTGTATTTGTAGTAGAGCTTCGGCAGATAATGAGGAGATTTGTTTCTGCATAGGACTCAAACTTGTAGAAGATGATGCCGCTGTTGAAGGCTTTATGTAGACGAATTCTGGGAGATCGTCGCGAATGCGCTCGCATGTCCAGCAGTGGCAGTGCTCTTGTATCGGAGATGGGTCGTTCATATCGAACAAAATCTTCGCATCTCGCTTGAGGTCTTGCCCCTGCGTTTGATCTGGCTGGGCGCCTCCTATTTCTCTCAGGAAAGCATTGTACTGTCTTGGAAAGAGTCGATGCGTCCTCCAGAAAAGCCGAACTCCAAATGACTGATGGCAAACTGTCTCTTCTTCAACTGCATTGGGTTCCCTCAAGTGAAAGTCCAGATACTCCAAGCCCGCTCGGATCAGGGACCCTTGCAAGGCAGGTGAACGTATCCACAGGAGCTTATGAGACTCCTCAATGATGTCTTCGTGCCTCTTGACTTCGCTGAACAAGTCAGTCTCGATACACACTTTGCCGGTATCGGTATATGCCGGTGGACTTTGTAGATACTCAAGAATGTCACATGGTTGAGACGTGATATTACTGAACAGCTTCTGCGCAGATCGAGGAAGTACAAGCTGCATCTTATCCATATCGATGACATCGCGAATGGCAGGCCAAGGGAAGCAAAGGTTTTTCAGTCGCGTAGCATTGGCACCCTGGGCGTTGCAAGCAGCCTCATAAGCTTCCGGACTCAGCATAAGTGCGTACCATACTAGTAGTATGTCTAATGGTGGTAGATAATCCTTTGTGAGCTGAAGAGCAGCACGGGTGCCTCCATGATGCGAGTAGGCGCTCGCATGATTCAGTAACAACTCAATACCAGACCACCAAGTCGTAAATCGTGTAACTGCGAGTTTTATGAGAAGATCCCATTTTTTAGATGCGGGAAGCTGCGTGGGCTCTGATGGCGATGCTGGCTCTGGACTCTTGGTCTCATCGTATGAAGGTGGTTGGATGACCTTGACGTCAAGCGCCTTCGCACTAGCTTTCAAGTTCCGGAAGCATTCAAGCAGAGCAAGATGTACGGCAGCGTGACTCGCGTCGGGATAAGCCAGTAGAGTCTCAATACTCTGTGTTTCTGTTTCGCAGGGAATTGAAAACACGTTGGAAAAGACTCTTGGGTCGGGGATAATCGTTTGTTTACCGTCTGCCTGGGAGGGCTTGTATGACGATGGCAATGTCCAGGTGTGCGGGTCTAGATTGACCGCTTGGTCCACGACCTTTGCGCCGCTGCGAAAGCTTTTAAAAAACGGCATCGAGAAACCGTTGCATAGCAAAATGAAAGGAGAGTTTGAATGATAAGCCAGTGAAAGATGGAAGACGAAGCATGTGGTATAAAGAGGGAAATTAATTCTCAGCCTTTCACTCCGCCTTGAATTCCTTGCGCCTCATTCTGGGGGCGCATGCGCTAAGCCACCCAACTCTAAAAGCTTAATTCAGATAAGGCTCGACGATGATCTATGATATGGTTCTCAGAGTGATAGATATACCTATATATCATTACTTTCTGTAAAAAAGGCATGCAGTATTTTTGCAGCCTCTTCCGAATCGTCCTTCCCTCGAATCTGTTCCAAAGCAGCTTCGGTCTGCTCAGATGTGAATCCCCTCTCAGGTGTATAGAAATATTTAATCGTTTCCGTTGAAATCTCCTCGGTGAATTCAAAATGACCCTGAAATGTCAAGACACGTCCTGGCTGGAAGATTCCCTGCACGGCGCAATGCGGCGTGCTTCCTATCGACATCCACGACTCAGGCCATGCTGCTTCAAACCGAACATGGTCGCCGTGTGCGAACTGTATCCGCAATCCGTCTCTCTCGGGCAGGCTTAGAATATGATTAAAATGAGCTCTGACTTTCGGGTTCAGGGCAACTTTGTGGATGCCGACTTCATAGCCCTTTGGGTCTTTCTCGACAATCACTCCGTATTTCTCAAGCAGGGCTACAGAGATGATCTGGTGCCCGAAGCAAGCTCCAAACAGCCGCACATGTTGGTGATTCTCGTAGGTTTCTTGAATGAAAGTTCTCAATCTCGCAATCCAGGGATCTTCGTCATATACGCCTTTGATAGAACCTGTGATCAAGAAGGCGTCGAAGTCCTTTGGGTCAGGATATTCGTCTTTGATAATATCGAAGGCAGAAATCTGCAGAAGCTTATCAGACCCTAGAGTCTTATTGACAGCTTGCAGTCGATGAGCAAAGATACTGCTATATGTTGGTCCCCAAGCTTCGGCAACCTTCGGTACGACGTAGTCGCAATCCAAAATGGCGACCCGTACAGGTTGTTGGAGTCGACTTTTCACGGTCATTATTCCTTGGAGACTGAGATTTCCGATATGTGAACTTCAACTTTGAGAGAGACAAAGAATTCAAACTAGCTGAGGAGTCCAGCTTTGCAATACAGTAGATAAGGGCTGCCTTATAATGTCCGCCTGATCATGAACTATAGCCGATTACACCCCCACTCACTAATTTTACCAAATATGGAAAGTTTTAGAGACTGCTAATCTGACTAGTACAATTTGATGCTACCATGAAGTGGGTGTTCTCCATCCTTATCGGCTGCATGCCGACCTATGCCGAAGTGCTCGGGATAACCTCCGACTAACAAACCCAACCTCCATCGACGTTGTAAACAGCTCCAGTGACGAATCTGGCTTTATCACTGAGGAGAAAAGCAATAAAATTTGCAATTTTATGGGGTTCCGTAGGACGCTTTTGAGCCTGCTGCGCAACTTCTGCCTCTACTGCTTCGGCCATTACCTCGCCTTCCATCATGGGAGTTCGGACACTGCCTGTTAAAAATAGTCGTCAGAAATGCGGTAGTTTGATCCGGGACGGCTTTGTGATTTTTCGGCATGGGATGAGACGTACCTGGTGCCACGCAGTTGATGCGAATATTCTCGTTCTCCTTTGCAGCAGATCGAGACATGCCAATGACAGCATGCTTGCTTGCACAGTATACAGAAGCATTAGCAAAGCCGGCTTGACAATCAACACTAGGTGCCGATACCTGGACACAAATCAGCTTCCAAGTTTCAGTAGCAGGTTAGTCAAAGCATACAATGCTACCTCCAGACTTCATATGCTTTAGCTCTGCTCTCAAACAATTGAAAACACCACGAGCATTTACTCCCGTGATGAAGTCCCACGTCTTATCAGTCTCTTCACGAAGACATGTACCGTGGGTGAAGACACCAGCCATATTGACAGCACCGTCAAGCTTACCAAAGACAGAAACAGTCTTCTCGATCCATGCGTTTACTTCTTGGCTGTCACGCACATCGACTTGCGTGATTATGTGCCTATCACCAGGAAGTGACTCAAGAGCTGCTTCAAGGCCGGCTTTGTTCATGTCCGCGAGCGATAGTTGGGTACGGCAACTTGCTAGAAGCTTAGCAACTGCGAGACCTATACCAGATGCTGCACCAGTAATCGCGATCTTCATGATTCAGGTTAGCTTACCTTTCAAACAGCGAAAGTTCCTGATATACATACCACCTTGCCTTCGAATGAAGCCATTGTTGATGAACTTAAGTTTTATTTAGCTGATGTAAGGCGTGTATATGCTGGGAGATACTGTAAGTTCTGGGCTATATATGTTATTGGTAGCTGATATCTGTGCATAAGAAACTTAGATCTGAGCAAATACTGTTTAAATAGCCCTTCATTACAAAGAGTTGGACTCCGGCGCAAAGTTCACTCGTAGATCTGCCTATTCCCCCAGTATCTGTGGACGAAACAGTACGCGTAAATCTTGATTCCAATATGTTACTACGTGGTATGCGCCACAGCTCACATTTGTTTCCAGTTTTGGTTACCTTTACGCACCAAGTGACTGTGCATAAGTAGGTAGTACTGCATCACCTGCATTCCGGCTTCTTAGGCTCGACATGCCAAATTCGGTTAGACAGCCCAAGCATCTTGTAACTCCAATCATTGGCACATTTTATGACGCATGAACGAATGAGCGTCGTTATAGCCCAGTGGTCGTAATCTGAGCAATCAACTGCTATTCATAGCGTCAAAAGCTAGCGTTGCTTGCTTGCGAGCGCAGTTGTCATGTCTAATGATGGTTTGGTTCGTGCGCCTCACTGTCTCACGAAGATAAGATAAGGTAAGGTAATTTCCTGGGCCTTTTCAGTCTTTGCAGTATTGGGTAGTAAAGAAAGCAGTTGGGTATTAGCGGAATCATTGTTCTTAGGAACAGATAAGCGGTCTATAGTCTAATTGAATCTATCTTTACTTCTTCCTTCATTGCCTAGGGTGCCGCATCAGCGATTGGATATGTCTGCTTCGAGGCATCTAGGTATAAGTCTTTGATATCATTGTGGAACTGCCCATGTACCCGACGGGCCAGCGAAGTCATGATACTCCTGCTCAACAGCTCGGGCGTCTTGTGTTTATGCTTCCAATTATGGCTTACAAAAACACCCTTGCACTCTCCATTTCCATCAAGCGTGAACTCATTCCCGTTGGCCTGATTACATGGTATGTTTTTCACATCATGTGTTCGGTTGAACTCATACCGGATATAGTACGAAAAGGCGCTCTGCTCATGTGCCCACTTGTGGTTCCAATGGTTGCAGCCAGGTATACTCCTTGGGCAATCTTCCCATCGCTGAAACATGTCTTGGGTACGCTGACTTGCTTGTGCGATGACGAAGCCCGTGTTCAGGATGAGGTTTCCTTGGGGATCGTAGTCTTGTTCCCAGTCGAGGTCGTAAGCCATGGCGACTAATGTTTCTGGGCGGTAATCCCAGAGGTTCATGAGCCATTCTAGTGGGAGGTCGAGATGCGTAAAGACGGCGTCTGAGTCGAGTGAAATGACAAAATCGTGGGTCTTGAGAGCCTCTTTGGTGATGGCAGGCTTTACCCAAGTTCCGTGTCGATCGGGATAATCGGCTGCACGGACTAGTCGGTAATCGTAGCCGTGGATCATAGCTAACCCAATGTCAGCAGAGTATCAGGCACCAGAGTCGATTGACTATACCATATATATAGTGGTTTAAGTGACCTCCAGTCCGTCCGGGTAGTGTTGTAAAGTCCAACGGACATTCATTCAACATCGTGTTCTCCGTTTTACCATCAAGTCGAGTATCAGTATCAACTATAACAACCCGTTTCCCTAATGGCTTCTTCCATCGCACTTGGTCGATTGGTACTTCGAAGCGTTCTCCCTTGTCGGTGACGAACACTCTCTCCATGATGGGGTGTACTAGGGGTTTCCATAGTTCCGCCATCAGCTTCGGTAGAGCCAGGCTCTCGGTTCCATTGCCATGCTGTTTAAATGCTTCCGGTCGAGGTTTCTTATGGCAATTGGCACTGAAGGTATCTGTTGCTTGTGGAGCAGAAGGAGGTGGAGGATTCGATGGAGAGACCATGGGTTTCCTATACGGTACATCATTAGCATCGCAAGGAGAAGTCTTTGTCGTGCAAACGAGTGGCCGGCATTAACTTACAGCGGGTAAAACGAATAGACTGGAAAGCAGAAGAAGATGAGAAATGCAGTGAGGCTGACAATGGAGCAAATCCATATGGCCCGCCTGGGAGCGTTCAACACTCCCATCTTGACACCGTTTTGAGCACCACAGAATCGAAGACCCATTTTGAAGAGAACGAAGCAAGAACAAAAGAACGAAGCATGACGTGACAGCTGCAAGCTCAACAGTTTAAAGATGGCAGGCATTTGGACCGGCTCCCGCGGGGCTAACGCATAACTTGTAGCCCTATTGATCTGCGAAAGCTTGATGCTACGTCCCCTATTTGCAAGTAGGAACAGCCGAAACTTTGATCTACGTAATCAAGCGGAAGCATCGCGGTCACTCGGATACTATTTAGCCAATGACGATGTATCTGTCGTATGATGGTTACGATTCTTACCTTCCAGGCAAAGACTGTAGCTGGAATAGGCAACTACCGAAGTATACGAGAAGGCTAATTTCCGTTTTCTCTCGAGGGAGAATTGTTCTAGACCTGTCTAATAACCTTTGGCAATTGGTTGTCAAAATGTTACCTAAACGAGGTCCACAGCTCGGTTAAGAATCCGATAGCGTCAAGCAGCCAACACATGCTTACAACATGCAGGGCAAGGCTTGGGACCCTCTAGACCAGTTTATCTCAGTACCTTAATTGATCTTAGAAGTTCCCCTGCTCCGTGAGGCAGGGGGTTAGGAAGCAGGCAGATGAGAAAGGGTTCGATGTTTTTAGATTCCGAAATAAGTTTAAATATACTGAGAAGCCAAGAGATCCAACACAGGTCGTTAATCTCAACCTGGTCTCCCTTTTTGATCAGATGTCCCCTATGACGATGTTCGTCGACCTACCACGATCGACCATTAACAGTGGGTACGGTCAGTAAAAAAGACGCATCATCATATGAGAATCCCATTCCATTGGACTCTGCGTCTGATGCAGCTAAGCCTCCCTTTTTACGCGTCAGGGCTGAGGCGCAACGCTGAAGGATTCAGTAGCGTAGTGGGAAAAGGAAGTCCGTCTCATTGCGTTTACGCGGAAGCCAATCAGACACCCCAGCACTGAGTCAAGTAAACTTCAGCGTTGACTAAGGTTAAAAGGCTAATATAATAGCCTCGCACTTTAGCTACCGCCCGACCAGCTAAAGGCTTCCTTCACCTTATTCTTAAAATATGGTCAAAATTCGATAGTCTTTGGAGATCATCTCTGGTTTTCATTCTCCTCTCATTGTTTGTGCTGATCGTAGGTCATAGGCTGTGCCATTTCGACCAATGAAATGTGGTTTCGGTGTATGACTCAGCCTACGTCATGTTCAAGCTGTTAACCATGAGCCGCCTCTCTCACATCCATTGGTATATTTGCAACCAGAAGACCTTTAAGTTGATGATATATGAAGAGCTACTACTGTAGAGCCTAAAGATCTATACTAAATTTATCCAATCTCACTTAGCTTAACCTATCTTTTTTCATCGTTTAGTAAACTCTTTATGATTTCTTGCCCCAACTGATATTTATCCTGAGTATTTACATCAGAATATGGCTCCAGATACTTTTCCAAAATTCCTCCAACTCCCGAAAGAGATTCAGATTCTCATCTGGGAAGCTGCAGTCCGCCCAGTCCCTGGAGATCACCATGTTCACCGATTCTACATCGCCGACTATCGCGTTCTCCAGCCAACTCCCATGAAACCGATACAAGGGAGATTTCTTCGCTTGCTACGCACTAAGAATTTCGAGTACGAATCTGTGAACATTGCCACAGGGCTTTCATTAGCTATTCCAATGGACGATGTTACGGGCAACCCAAACGACTCAGTCTACTTGACAGACAGCTATCTGTGGACTTTTTGCAAGGAATCACGTCAAGCGATGGAAAGACGGTTCACTAAGAATGAATGGTGGTCGCACGTCAAGTCCCCCTTCCACCCAAAACGTACAGCAGAACCAGGCCGATACATCAGTCAAAAAGGTGCTACTCATACTGCATATTACCAAGACAATGATGGTAATATCAAGCACATCACAATAGATTTCGACAACGATCTCATCCACTTTGATCCTCGATGGCTTAGCCAAGTGGATTGGTGGCATATTAACCCAACTGTCTTCTTACCTCTATTCGACGAACGCCCCTCCAATCGAAGATCAGGATTCAGCTTCGTAGGGAACAACGTTGCGATGGATTATGACACCTCGATTATGGATACCCTCAAGAACCGGAAGGTCCACTATAGCCAGATAGGATTGGGGATGACTCGTGGAGCTTTTCAAGACATGATCAGTTATCTCCTTGACGTTGCCCAGGTCACGATTTGGTGTATCGATTACAGCTTGATACGGGCTCAGCATATCCCAAGAACTTTAGAAGAGGGGAGGGAACAGCAAGATACGAACGCGGATACCACAAGGGAGATCTTCCGTTCGGATGATTTCATTTACACGGAAGTCAAAAGAGAAGACATTGGCACTCGGTGGGTCATAAGCAACAGCAACGATGAAGTCGACAGTGGCGAGACAGAGACTGCTTTTGACATGTTTGATACTCTATCTCTCGACGATGATGATCTCAGTCACCTTCGGGTTCTAGCTTGCGAACCAGTGGTTGGGAGGATGCCTCGACCGCGTACACCGTGGGCACAGAGATGCGTTGGTGAGCAATGCGAGACTTGTTATCCCGACAAGACCATCCCTCGTATCCCACCGTCTACCATCAAGAGAGAAGGATCAGAGAGTTCATCGAATATTTCCAGCTCAGACTTGGATTTATTCGACTAGAGAGATCGGATGAAAAGGCTTAGGATCTCTACCCTAAGTAATAAAAGTCTTGGGTAAATTTAGAATAATTTATCTTTTAACTTTATAGACCTCAGATTATATGTTCTTCGTATCTTGTGATATTTTGTCTGGGTTTTCTTGTTTGCCGCATTCTGGCCCCACAACTTATAGTCATCCGGCCGACTTGCCGCGCGGTTGTCATCATAAGTGCCGAGTTTGGTGACGTGATTATCAATCATGTTTGGCCGATCTGATATCATGGCATGATTTGCTTATACACCAATCTTGGGAATATTTAATAACTGGATAAACACCTCATTTTCTTTGAAAGAGTTGGCATGAAACCTCCATCTTTACGCATCTTGAGTCTCAAGCCATACAGGTCGTATATCATCCCAAAGCAGAATACCGTCCGATCCTTTTCTTCGAGATATCATTTCTCTAAAGACTCTTCTTCCTTGAATATCAGAAACATGTGTGATCAGGTAAACCGTCATGCCATTCATGAGAGTAATAACCCGATGACTAATAGTGCCAAAGCCAGATGAGATCAGGCTCAAGCCAACCAAGGACGGCTCTTTCATTCGGCCTGACAGCGCCTTTCGCAGTTTCGTATTAAACGATCCCGATTCTCAGTTCCCCGCTGAGAGAGATCGCTATGTTCTTTATTTGAGCCCAGGATGTCCATGGGTACGTCATCACTAGGCTTTGCCTCTCCAGTACTGACAACGACAGTCTCATCGCGCCATGATCGTGAGAAGCCTCAAGAAACTCGAGAATATAATCGACCTATACATCTGCTCACTCACTATGGGCAAAGATGGTTGGTTTTTCGATGACAGCCCAGAAGCTGCCAAGTATGGTGTGCTCCCCAAGGATCCATTATATGGCCTCGACACGTTGAAGCAACTGTATCTCAAGGCCAACCCAAACTATGAGGGTCGATACACTGTGCCCGTCCTTTGGGATAAGAAAACTCACACCATGGTGAGCAACGAGTCGAGTGACATCATTCGGATGCTGTACACGGAGTTCGACCACCTTCTTCCGGAGGAAGATCGTGAAACAAATAGAGCTGGAGGCGGTTTCTACCCTGATGATTTGCGCGAGAAGATTGATGAAATCAATGAATGGGTCTACAATACTGTCAACAATGGCGTATACAAGACAGGATTTGCCATGTCTCAAGCTGCATATGAAGAGAACGTCGTAAAGCTCTTCGAGTCACTCGATCGACTGGAGAAAATACTCGATGAAGGTCCCTTTCTTCTTGGCAAGAACATCACCGAAGCTGATATCCGTCTGTTCCCAACCATCCTCCGTTTTGACGTTGCTTACGTCCCTATTTTCATGTGCAACCTTGGAACCATCAGGGATCACTATCCGAATTTGCATCTTTGGCTGAGAAGGCTTTACTGGGACAGTAGTTCCAGAACTCATGGTGCGTTTCGAAAGACCTCTGAGACTTGGCTTGAGAAATATAAGACCGGTTATGCAAATGCTAGACGAAGGATTCTTGGTATCACTGGGCCAGAGATTGTTCCCAAGGGGCCTCTTGTGTTGATCCATGAGTTGGAGGACGGGGAGAGACTTTAGGCCTGATCATGAAATATGGCGATCGCTGAAAATGACACTAGCAGTGCTATACATGATATTGCTTTCTCCACTTATGATTATGAACTTTTACATGTCTATGAGACTTAGTAAGTGATGTAGCTTGCTTAACCGCCGTGTTCCTATACTAGATCATGATACGCATCAAGGTTCACTGCTGGCATCGGACCCTGCACTTGACTAGCAATGCTCCAAGTGTGAGCGCACTCAGCCAAGCAACTAACCAGGTAGCTCTGTTCTTCCGGAATGCCAAACTTCTCGATAGACCTCGAGGCTTGTATGGATGCGTAAATCAATATGAGTGGTGCGTGACGAAGCCCATATTGCATTTTGTAAATTCGAACAAGGGCAAGGATATCTTGAGCGGCGGTAGTGCAAGAGAGAAGTGCAGCTTCTTGAGCCGAGGCGACGTTAGTAATGGTGGCAGACTCGTAGTTCAAGGCAATGCGGATACTGCTGTAAAGAAGGCTTCACGATATATGTTAGCCAGGAAGCTTTGTTTAGAGTCATGGAGACCTACTGGAGTGTAGCCACCGCTGGTGTTATTGTCACACCCGTCGACCACTTATTCCACTTTGCGAACGCCGGCAGTGCGTCCCTCCACTGTAGAAGCTCGAGGTTGAGGTTATCAAGCAACGTTTGTCGTGTGAAGACATCTGTCTGCGTTCGAGGCGTCCTTGGAGAAAATACCGTGGTCATCATTTTCTCGACAATTCTGTAGAGACGAATCTGCTCTTTGAGATATGGTATGTTTGACAAAACTCGAAGCTCTTCCGGGTCATCGCCGAAACCAACAGGTCGCCAGTACTCCATTCCGGGGCCGTCACTGACTTCATTAGTTGGTTTGAAAGCTGGGAATGGAGACTGTCTTACGTTATGAACTCCAGTAGATCGACCTCAGCGCTATCGAAGGCCAGTTGTACTGGTCTCCCAAGTATCAAGCTGATCAGTTTGTCTGAAATGTATGAGCCCCAATAGATTCTGCGGCGGATCTCAATATCCTCGCTTGAGATAATGGTCGAGTCATGTGGCAGCCAGTTCATAGGATCACTTTGAAAGCCCAAGTCCTGGGCCATACGGAACGCGATACCTATCTTTTGTCAAAATCAACATTTTCATGCGAGCATTTAGTAAATCATACCTGAGAAAGCCCATCCTTTGGATACATTTCCGCGACCAATTTCAAAAAATGCTAAGCATAAAAATGACTGGACGGTGGGGATCGAGGGACGGCTCAGACCAGATACCATCACGATACTCTCAGCCGCCTGAAAGAATTGCTCAATCAGGTTCCGCTCCACTTCAGTGTCTGACATAAGGAGGCCCAATGCGCATATAGACAGGAGAAGTGCAGATGACCAGTATTTGCAGCCTTTCCGCTCACCAAAATGGTCTCTTAGAAACGCCTCTCGGTAAACAAACATAAAGTGGGGGTACTGCCAGCGAAAGAACTGCTGCAATGCCTTGAAAACCGTGTCGTCTTCCAGCTTGATACCGAAATGATCCATCACATGGTCAAAGTTGGACTCTGCATACAGACTCTGTGTTGGACTTGGAAAGCTCTCGCTTGTGGTGAGAAGATCGCTGTTGAAGATGCTGGTCGCGCCATGGTAGACTAGTGATCCTTCTGCATCTGGTTTCAAGCGTGCTCGGGCTGTGGTATCAGTTTGGATGACTTGAGACGGCCCTGCGATCGAAATATTTGATGTGCCCTGTATATAAGCCGCGGGCCCAAGCATTTCATCTCGGCGAGCGGGAGAAGCTTCTCTCAACTCCTGTATGAAGGCTTCTAGTGAAGCAACTCTATTTCGTAGACCAATCGTGTACTCTGAAGATGGTGGGTTCCGTCTCTTGTCGATCTTTTCATACTCGCAGCCTGCACCCGCTGTCGCACAATTCGTGCAAGGGACTGTTCGCGTGCATCTCAACTAGCGCTGTTAAACTTACACATTTCTATCAAGGTATCCCGGCATCAACTTACCTTTCGATAACGGCAACGTTTGCAACTAGTGCTTCGTGTTAGTGAGTGACATCTTTAGTGACGCGCTTGTCCAAGGTCTCACGAGAGTTCTTGCTTGCCTGTTGCGGGGTTCATATCGGGCCAGGCTAGATACAACTAGAGTTAGCTGACAGGGTCCTATGATGCCAAGTTTAAAGGCCGATCAGGCATCACCCTCAGGTTGTTGGAAATGACAGCCCAACATTTGAGGAGGGGGTTGGGGAAGCCGGTTGGAGGGTTAAATGCGAGTTGGATGTGTGGGTCGAGCTTCGACTCCATTGCCAACTACGTACTCACCTGGCCTACCCAGGCTACCCTAAAACAATCTATCATCAACGTTGGTTTTATCAATGACACATGAAATATTATGCTGAGGCTGCGAACACCGGTGACAGGTAAGTTTATGATATTCGTTAATGGATTACAAATTACTAAATACACTTTCCTGAGCTCATCAATTAGAAGAAAACAGCGCGATCCTATGAGTGAACAAAGTTCATTTGCAGAAAAGCACCAGCGTCCAAACATCAATCTTGTTACCTGTTGCCCACCAGAAGTCGCACACCACTCTTCTGAATGAATAGAATTCCACCATTATCAGGGGTGAATTTGAATAATAATAAATTGGAATATACCCTAGCCTCGTCGTTAGTCTTTGTCATCTCTCAGATTATCAAACCAATCGTTGATAAAAGTTTTCTTAGCTGGTTGATCTGCGAGAAATCTCTTCGATGGAAAAGTTGGTCGTTCGGCGCTCTCTTGCGGGTAAAAGCGACTGTCATTGAAAAATACCCAAGCGCGCTCCTGACCGAGCTTGTATCTGAGTTTCTCTTTGGGCTCCAGAGAGAGCTGGTTGTATAAAGACGATTCGTGACCATTTTTGTATTTTTGCTTGGTCGCGAATATGTTATGGAAGTACGCTTCCCACGGGTCTCCATACAATCCATGATTCCAGACATCTTTGAGTTTCTTGTCGAGTGCTTTCCTTTTATCTGGCTTGGCCATATTGTAGCGAAGGAATTTAATTAGGCGATCGAGCCCAAGCGTTGAGAAACCGGCCCCAATATCATCGCCAAAGTCGCGAGAAAGTAAATGCAGATTAGGTGCGTAGACGTTGGCATCAAAAAAGAGGGCGTCGGGAACCGGAAAATACATCCCCATTGTGGATGTAGGAGTTGCGAAAGCGGCTGGGAGATCAGCATGGTTGCATTGGGCTAGCATTGCCCCGTATAGAGAACAGACATAGCTGTGGACACACCCGATAGCTTCGAACTCGGCGTTGCTGATTTTACGTAGCCGTAGATTGCTGGGAGTAAAAGAGAATTTGCTGTCCTTGCATAGTAAGTCAAACCTTAGAAATGCTTTGACAAACCTTTTCCGTTCCGAGGATGTGAGATTGGCGGAACTAAATCGCGGCGTGACCTTGAGGTCTTTGAACACAAGGTGTCCTTCCGTTGATAGCGGCTGAATTTCTGGTAGACAAAGATATTCCTGTGGGGGAAAGGAAGCAGTGGCTTTGGTGATATAGTCCTCGACCAAAAGAAGAATTTGATCATGTAATTTATTGAGCCGACCCACCAGGTGATCGTCGTTACTCTTGAACGGATCGGGCAGCCGAGACTTTGACCAAGCCCGCAAGTGTGCACGACTAAGCTTCTTGCGTTGATGCTTACCAGCACAGGTCCGACGATTCGGAAACAACAAAATAGCCATAGCATCTTGTATCATCTCGGCGTCAAATTCGGTGGCAAGGACTTGTCGTAAGATAGACTTCTTGTGTGCGAGATATTGTTGCAGTAGGACAGGAGATGCTTGGATTATTCGTAATATCGACGATTTGCAGCCAACCGATATGAGGACTTGGATACGTAGCTCCGGCGGGAGCCTGATGAAAGGGTCTGTTTTAGCGTATGTCATCCTTTGCATTCTCAAGTCCATGGTCTACGTCGATGAGGAGAGTGATGAAAAGAAGAGAGAGGAAAGGTTACGAGGGGCCAACATTGATTATTTATACTCAACTAGAGTGGGGAAAGCCAGAGGCTATTATTTTGAGAGTCATTTCTGGTAATAAGGTTCTGTGGGAGCACAAGCATCCGGTCAAAAGCCTGAATCTTAAACATAGATTAACCTTTACTCAGGTATCGTGCACGATATGCTTTGCTGTACAAGGAATTCAGTGATTCATTGGTACATTCTCCGAACTGTGAGCTAGAGAAAAGAAAACTCAGGACCTCGATCCTAAATGATAAGAAGACTTAGGCAACATGTTAAAAGTTAAGAATAAACTTAGCCCAAGTTTAGGATACCTTTTCTTAAATTTATTTAATAACCGATCTCACTCTTCAGGCATGCGTATTGTCTCTTTGCATAGATATGTGAATACAGATTGTCGGACTTGTAAGAGTTAAGGAAGAGTCTTTAAACAGCGAGAGGCCTTTAGCAGTGAGAAGGGATAGGAGGACAAGAACTCGTAGCCCCTGAGCGCCCTGGAATAGAGACAGAAAATTGTTGCCACGAAAGTATGGAAGAGAAAAGCTCGCCTTGGAGTATTGTAGACCTATGGGGGAGAAGAATTCTAGGGCAGAGGTCGGGTGCAAGACGGCAAGTAGCAAGAGGTATTGTCGGTTTGATGTCAAGATTCTAATGAGAGGCGCCAGAGGCACCAGCTGCTGGAAGCCATGCACAAGCGTGAGATCATTTGGCACAGACTGGATCTGGCAGCGATGATTAGGGAAGAAAAAGACCAAGGCTCAGAAAAAGGTATTTAGGGTCGGGGCATCAAGCAACGAACGAAAAAGCTTGGGGCCTCGAAAAGATCATAAAATAAAAAGGTCGGCTTCGTGGTGGAAGTAACTTTTGTGTAAGCCACTTACTGAGGCGTAATGCCATTTCCTTCAGTGGGTAATGTTGCCTAAAATTTAGGATCCGCTAAAGGGAGCAAAGAACCTAAACTTAGGATCCAATCTTAATCCTAAGAGATGAAAAGACTTGGGTAATCTGGCCTAAACTTAGAGGACTCTTTTCTTCATACTCATGTCTTCTTCTAAAGTCCCGTTTTGTTCTTATGGACTCCCCAAGGGACCACTCATACCTAAGGTACCTTATCTTCTGGCTGTTCATGGCTGTAGAACTCCACTGCAACTAATGCTCAGCATCCAATATTACAGTGGGTCATGACCGCTAATAAATGCCACGGAATCAATCGCTTGAATGGATCTTGCTCGTATTGGCACTCTTACAAAACGGAGAATAACATTATGTACCTCATTAATGAGAAGGGGAACACAAAGGAAATCCAATGACCGAAATGATCATCTTGCGACTCAGTGGGTAGGAAGGCTGTTTGGTCGGTATCGAATGTTCCATTTCTCACTGATAAAGACGTGAGTACTGTATGAGTATGGCTACCACCACGGCGTGGTACTCAAGGCTGACGACACCAATAACATTCAGCAAAGACTACCTTGCTGGAATTAAAGTATTGCCGGGGCCAGATAAACATGCATGCTTTTGACATTCATCTCGCCTCAGTCGGTCCTTCAGTCCAGCCTTTCAACCGGGCATGGGGGACTTACCCCAAGAAACGAACTACGATGGGACATGTCACAGCAGTTAGCCAATAAGATCCTGAAGATCGGGCGCATCTTAGTATATCCCAATAACTCGTTGTATTTAGCGAATTTCAGGGCGGCGCATTGGGCCTGTTTGACGCTCATGCTCATCCTGAGCTTGTTGGCCTCCTTGATATTCGTGACGCTTGTAAAAGAAACATCTAACAGGAATACGACATTATTGTAGACTATGCCTAGAAATGAGGAAATAGCTGCAGCCACTGAAAAGTGAGGAAAACTCCAACGGGACAATGTCGCAGGCTTGCAAAAATCTCTGCGACAATGAAGGCCCTTGACAGAACATATGCGCTACCCAAAACAGATAGCAAGTATATACAATAGAACTTGGCGAAGTTTCTGATGAATCTCCTGAGATATTCCGGTGTCCTCCGCGGAAAGACGAGAGCATGAGATCTGTCGAGGAATAAACACCAAAGGGTGAGCCAGATCAGGCCTGATATTATAACGTAAACAGGCAACGCGCACATGATGATCATACAGCTGAGCTGCCACAATACTGCCTCTGTGTACGAGGGGAACTTTAACAAGAATGTAGGCGCAAGATGAAGACCACCATAGCAAATAGATAGGATAGCGGCGAGGAATACTATCTTATGGTACCTCCAGAACTTCCACATGGGACCATATTTCGAAAGAAAACCTTGCGTTTCATAATGCGGAGCAAGATCAAGGGAGAAGAAACTTCTACCCTCCCAGAAATCTCGTTCGCAGTTCAATATCAGTTCTTGTCTGAATTCGTCCAGGCGCGCCAGGAGGAGGATACGTTTTTCTCTCTCCGGAAGATCCGGTATACCATCTTCCTCACACCTGTGCTGTCGAATCCTTATCGACGTCTCAGCCAGGTACTCTCGCTGCTCGTTGGAGTATTTAGACAGAATAATATCCCATCGCCGAAAGAAGTCAGGTGTAAGTGTGAAAGAGTCCTTGACGGGTTTAGATCTTCGATTGAGCTTGTGTTTAACCATTGTCTGGCCACCCCAGATGTTGTCGAGAGGAAATAAAGCATCTTTGGTATTTACTGTGTAGAAAGCAAGTCCAGAGGGAAGAATATCGCCAACTTTCATTTCTGTCGACGCCCCATCGATCCATCTCATTTGGCGACCCGAAGATCCTTCTGGGGGTGGCTGTTCTGGTGTTTGACGTGAAGGGAACAGTGCTAGACTGTACGACATCCTGCTATAGAACTGCTTCTGTAACATGATGGCCAGTTCGGCTTCGAAACCATGTGGTTGGACAACGAATGGTTCCTGAATATCCAAAGGTTTCTGTACGCTTGTCAGCTAATAGTAATGAGATTTTGAGGGATAAACGAACCTTGACCCAACAACAGTATTGGATGATAGCAAAAAAGACATGCAACATGGTATGGATTTCCAGTAGTGTAAGCGGAAGTCCAAACACAAACCGACAAACACACTGGGTAATCATCCAGAGTATCTGAATAAGTACAAGGGCCTTTTGAAATACACCAGCCTTGCTTTTGTCGTCAATGTCTTTCTCTAGGACTTTAAACCAATGACCCTTGCTGGCGAGTTGAACTATAGCAGGCGGGCCTGCGCGGACGGTTCTTCGGACTGGTCTCTTGCCCTTTTCGGGCTGAGGATCTTTGAAAATCTTCTTGGCTGAAGGGTCAAGATCCGAAGTAGACAAGATATCGTCGACGTCGAAACGAACTCCTCCCATAACAATAAAGTAGGCGTACTGCAAGTTGATCTCAAACTAGAAACTGTTATTAAGCATTCGGGCTCGCCGTGTGAGCTTCCTTACATCATCATCAGGACTTGTTATCGACGACTTCTGTCGTTTCTGTATCTTTTGGAGTTCCGACTTGAGAGACCAGGCAGAGTAAATCTGATTACTCGCGATTAATAAGGAGAATTCTGGGACCACAATAGTCAACAGAACCCATTTTATCTTCTCTAGCAGACGGCGTTGCCATGTAGAGTTCGGAATTATGTCAAGATGAAGGGCCGTGAAGACACATGCAATGAGGGTAAAGATGCAACTTTCAAGAATGTCGAACGTGCCCCTGATATTAGGAGAACCAACCCAAGGTGGAGCAAACTTTGAGTTCAGATCTGTTCCATTGGAGTAAAGGATAGAAACCTGCCATGGCTGGGTGAAAGTCGATGAGTTGAGATCTCCCATATTGACGTTATATAAGAAGGACAAACCAAAGGAATATGATGCTGCGCTCTCGAAAAGGGCCATATTCTTATTGAGAGTTCTAATAGTGGTTTATAAGCTGTGAAATTCAGCCCTCAGTATGCTATGGCAATGTCGAGCTAGCCAATAGACGCGCCGTGTTTAACCGCCGCCCTTTATTCAGTCGAGTAGTTAGACAAGACTACAAAAGCCACCGAGTTCCCCCCGCACCGTAACATGGTTGAAAATACAAAGAGGCTCGGGGCATAATACGAAGTCTTTGTACAACGGCCCTTGGTATTCGTGTTTCTACTGAACCTGAGAGAATGGCCTCGAATTCAACCGTCGCCGAGTCAGATCCCCAATCGTCAAGTACCCCTCATCTCGAGCTTGTCAACAGTCAAGTCCCATACCGTGACGCTGTTGTGTCATGGAAACTCCCCAAGGTTCTCCTTTTAGGCGAGGGATGTTACATCGACAGTTTCGAATTGGATTGCGTGACACATGTGGTATTGCAGTGAGTCCTTTTGTCAGTACACAAAGAAGAATCGTGCAACTGATCGGCTGAAAAGAATATCAGACGCTCGACAACGACAAGTATTTGCTCAGATTGGCATTCAGCACGACTATGACTATCCCTTCCCTTTCTGGCATTTTCTTGGCAAAATGATCTCCCAGGCGCTGTTCGAAAATGAGACTTCGCTTGAGATATTGAGTTTTACAAGGGTAAACGACCGCGAATTTATTGGGTTCGAGAACAAGAACTATCCCAAAAGCAATAACAGCACAGACATTAATGTTATTGAAGTGAGTCTCAAAAGACCGCAACCTAATGAGCCTATGGAGATCTTTTGGAGGCCTGCTAGGGGCATCATCATCCAGAGGCTTCGAGAATGTGAGTATTGTGAGGGTTACACTTCGGGACTTTGAGGCTGAGATGAAACACAGGGTTACAGGAGCCCCTTTCGGCCCCGAGACGGGTACCTTTGGTCGATGCTTGACGGGTAGACAGTGTAGCGTCTCTTGTAGCACGGAACCAACACTGCCAACGCGTTCGAATGTTCAACGAATGCAACCGTGTCTGAGCCCTGTCGATCATCTTTCCTCGTGACAGTCGAAGGTCCGAGTCACCATTCAGCC